CCCACCAGGGTCCCTGAGGAGCAGCCATGACGCGCTGGGCCCGCCAGCATGCAGCCCGCAGCCGGGGGGTTCTGGAGGCGACACCCTGGGAGAAGATGGTGGACGGGGCCCCCGAGGGCAGCGCAAAGGCTGGGCCAGGCCGTGGCTCCCGCCCGCTTCACCTCCAGAGAGATGCAGGGGGGAAGAAGAAAAATAGAAAGAAGAAAGACTACGTGAATGAGGACGTCAATGGGTTCCTGGAGCACGTGAGGCAGAGCGTGCAGGGCGGGCTGGTTTTGGCAGCCCACGACCCCGAGGTGAGGGCAGAAGTAGCTTTGGCCTTAAAGAAAGACCAGCGCCGGGAGGAGAGGCGGTTGAAGAGACAAGAGAAGAAGAAACATGGCATGGTGAGACCCTGGTCCTGCTTCCTCCCTGTTCTTTCCTCATAGTGGCAGCATCCTTAGAGCAGGGCTTCTCAACTTTTTTAGCTTCCAGGTACCATCAGAAAGAGCCGGCTCTTAGGTCTCATATCTCTGTTACTCCAGGGCAATTCTTCTGTTGCAGAGAACTCAGAAAGACCACAATAGGGCAGACTGTTTCTGGCCCTATGGATCAGGGTTTGAAATATGGGGAGGGTTGGGGGGTCTGAACCCCCCCCCTCCCCATAAGAAGCAAGAGCCCCCAACCCACCCTGTGCCTGTCTAAGCAGCTTAAACAGTGGTGGCTTCTTCCAGCTGCCACCTCTGCAGATTCCCCCCCAAGAATAGGAGTGTAATTCGAACCCAGCTGTGGATTCCTGTTTGAAATCTCTAGTCTGTTTTGTGTGTTGTGTTAGTGTTGGCACACCTAACAGTGCTAATGTTGCACAGCACCCTTAAAAGGATCTTGCCACAACCTGGTGGAGAACCGCTGCCCTAGACAGTAGCACCACTTCAGCTGTAGTGAGGACTGAGAACTCCTTTCTGTTTAAAAGTCCTCTCTCAAGTGCTCTCAAATTAACATGTTCATTTGGACTGTCTTGCAATATAGTGGGTCATGTGTGCGTTTAGGGTGAATTAGAGGTCATTTGAGCAAAGCGTTCTGGAGACGCAGTCTCTGAAAAACAGCATGTCTTAAGCTTGACACTTTGTTAGACTTGCTGAGGCTTGGGGCTCTGAACATGTCCAGAAGGTCCTGGTTGTTCGACACATATGGAACCGACTTCATGAAACCTGCTATCCTTTTGGAAAAGCAAAATGACAAAATGTCTTCAAAAAGAGTTTAGCTTGGTGCATGCCTAGGGTGTTGTGCATAGATAGGGGAGTTGCTGCAGCGCTGGTATTCACTTGAGAGTGAAAGAGGCCTTCTATAGTAATTGCACCTTAACCGCACCTAGCAGATGTCAGTCCTACTCTTGACTGACATCAGAATGAGACTTGTATGTATGTATGCATGTTACTAAAATTGTCCCTGTTAGAGGGAACATTTTTTTGAGAAATGTGATCCAAGTGCAGAAGATAATTCAAGCACCTTCTGAATTGTTGCAGAAAAGAAACAAATCCTAATTGCAAGTGGTTGCTGGAAGGGGGTGGGGGGACTTAGTCAGAGAAATAAGGGAATAATCCCAGAAAATTAGGTCTGGAGGAGACCTCAGGAGGTCATCTAGTTGAGGCCCCTGTTCAAGGCAGGAACATCTTTGTCTAAACCACCCCAGTCAAGTTTTTGCTGAACCTGTTTTTAATTTCAGCCATAAAGGTTCTGTATCCTCTCTTGGTAATCTATTCCTGTGTTTAGTTCTTGGGAATAGCCAACTTAATTTCCTTTGTTGCGTTTACTAGTGAGGCTGTTAATACTTGTCCTAGCTCTTGTGGACACAGAATATAGTTATCCCCATTTTTGTAACAGCTTTTTTTATACTTGAAGACTGTTAGCATCACTCTTGCACCTTTGCCTCCACCACCCCATGTCTTTTCTTCTCTAGACTTAGGAATCCCAGTTCTTTCAGCCTTTCCTTGTATGTTGTGTTCTCTAGACCAGTAATCACTTGTTGCTCTTCTCTGGAATATTTCCAATTTGTCCATGTCTGTCTTGAAGTGTGTTACTCGGAGCTGGCCCTTACACCAGATGAGACCTTACTGGTGCTGAGTAGAATGGAAGAATTACTTCCTGTGACTTGCAGGTGACAATTAATATAGTGGGGGCCAACCTTTTTGGCTTGTGTGCCACAAATTAGCCCTGCCTCTTTCCCAAGTGCCACTCTGATCCCCTTCTCCTGCTCTATCTGCTGCTCATCTTTCAGTTCCCCACTCTATGCTCCCTGCTGGATTTGCTGCTTTGCTTTCTGCTCCCTGGTGTAACTGCAGCTATGCTGCCTGTCTCCTCCCTGACCTGCCATTTGTGCATGTGCCTATGTCACTTGTGGCACCCATGCTGCAGATTGGCCACCCCTGTGTTAATACATCCCCAGATCCATTATTTTGTCCACCCCTGTTCACTCCCTCCGCAGCCCCCAGTTCATAAAGCCCATCACCTTGTCATACAGAGGATAGATTCCTTGATGATATGCTTGAGACTCTCTTTGGTTATTGAAGTTAGATGAGTTACTTTAGTTCCCTGGATCCTACTCCATTCTCATCTCCTCCCCCCCACCTTTTTTTTTTTGAAGACGAAAACTATATTGGCCCATTTCTAGTTGCCTGGCAGTCTGTGAGTTCAATGGCTCTGCAGTTTCCTCAGCTAATTCCTTGTTAGCCAAGTTGGTGCATTTCTAGGCTTTCTTTTCTTCCTGTGCATCTTTTTATAGAATCATAGGGCTGGAAGGACCCTGATGAATCATCGGGTCCAGCCCCCTGCATGAGCAGGAAAGACATCTGGGGTCAGGTGACCCCAGCCAGGTGACCATCCAGTCTTCTCTTGAAGACCTCTAGGGTAGATGATTGCACCATCTCTGGGGGGAGCATGTTCCATAGTCTGGACACCCTAGTTGTAAA